GACATTCCACTCTCAACAATATAGTGTGCATATAAATGTATGATCAAAGGTCATCTAATTAAACTGGTTAGTTAGGGAAAACGATTACATAGAAAAAAAGGTATAAACAATATACCAGCAAGTGGAGCGCTATATTGAATATATATATAAATAATGAGGGGGTATACTCACCCCTCCAACATAGTGATACAATGTGTCCAAATGTACATACAAAGTAAAACAACAAAAAGAGAGAATATAGTGCAGATGGTTTACAAAAAATAAAATAAAAAATAAAAAATAAAAAAAATGAATAATGGTAGCAATTGGTTGAAACCACTCACGTGGGTTGGAGCCTATAAGCTATTGGCTCCGTAAGTGACTCCTTCTTGCTCTTGAGGCAGCAACACACCCCTTTATCCCAAACGATATTCTCCCGAAGATATGGAACAAACAGAGAGAGAGAACCTCATAGGTGGTATTGTACAGATGGTGTATACAATATAGTGAGATAGTAATAGATATGCTCACCTTAGACAGAGCCTTGAATTCCTGGCTCTGAGGTTTGTTGGCAATGTGCTAATTTATTGGGATAGCATTCCCCACATGGTGTTCCTGGAGGCTAGAAAGGACTATATGGACTAATATATAAAAAAATAACAATTTATTGTAGAGATAAAAAAATAATAATAAAAACAATATTTAGACTTCTCAAAAGCACATAAGCTAAATGATGGAAAGTCCAAGTATAAAAGTCCAAACTCCAGCTAAACGCGTTTCACTCTTGTATGAGCTTCCTCAGTAGCTGTGAAGTAGCCTCAGGAATCTTCCACTTTATAAGTGCTCTAAAGTTGATTCGGATCCTCCCTTTGAGGTCACAGGATGTGTGATTATCCAATCATAAGGTCAGAGTCTCTTTCAAATTTCTTATATTGATCACCTGTAGTAAAAAAGCTTACATTGGCTAAATTGCCTGTCAATCAATCAAAAAGCTTGATTATTATTGGTGGTTGGATGGTGCTGTATTTTTCAAATTTCCTATATTGATCACCTGTGGTAAAAAAGCTTGCATTGGCTAAATTGCCTGTCAATCAGTTAAAAAACTTATTCTATTGGTGGTTGGATGGGGCTGTCTTTCTCAAAAACATTTTATATACTGATCACCTGTGGTAAAAAGGCTTTCATTGGCTGAATTGCCTGTCAATCAATTAAAAAACTTGATTAGAACAAATTCTATTGGTGATTGGATGGGGCTGTCATGTATAGCACCCATTCAGGGCAGTGGTTGGCGGAAGTGACATCACTTCCGCCCTCCAACATCTTCCCAAATGTCATTGTTAATAAAAAAAAATAAAAAAAAAAATAAAAAAAAACGGAATGCATATTAACAAAGTGAAATAGATAGATAGGTACAATAACAGAGAGATTTCCCTCAAATATAAAATAAAAGGGATTACCAAAATGGGGGTCGATTAAAAACTTACTGGATGAGAGAGTGCAATCAAGACAAACTTCTCCCATTGGATTTCAAGACTTCATTTTATAAGAGGACATAAAACCAAATGGCATAAATTTTGATAGTACAGATATAATATTGCAGATGGTACAAATATAATATGATACTATTGGATATATGTTAAGGATAATTAAAGGAAATGACAGAGTTCGAAATCTATATTTAAACCTTTGGGTTGTAAAGTCCCAAGGCTAAAAATCCATCTCATTTCATTTTGAGCTAGAATTTTGTTAAAATCACCGCCTCTCCAATTTCCTAAAGTTTTGTGTATGCCCATAAATATGAGCCCCTGAGGATTGCTGTTGTGTGTAGTCTTGAAATGATTGGATACACTATGTCCTTCATATCCCTTCTTAATGTTCCTTATATGCTCTTCTATTCTAATATGCAGATTACGTTTTGTGCGGCCCACATACTTGAGGCCACATGGACATTCCAACAGGTACACTACATTGGTTGAATGGCAAGTGATGAGATTGTTTATGTTGAACTCTTCATTTTCTTTAGTACTTTTGAATTTCCCTATATGTCTTTTTTTGCTTCCAGTATTCCTGCACGCCAAACATATTCCACAACCAAAGAAACCTTTCCTAGTATCAATTGGCTTTATGCTGCATGGTTTTCTGATGTGGTTCCTTACTAGTAATTTTTCCATGTTAGGTGCCCCTCTAAAGATCACCTTGGGTTTGTCTGGTAGAATGGTGAACAGGACTGGGTCTTCCTTTAAGATTGACCAGTGTCTATTAATAATTTTTCTTAAATGGCGGTTACCATGACTGTAATTACAGAATATAGGTATGTTGCCATTATCATTAAATCTTTCTTTATTCTCATTAATCCCTTTATCTATTAATAGGGTTTCTCTCTTAATTGCCATCACTTGATTGAGATCTTTGGTTAGATTATCTTGTTTATATCCTTTTTCCAACATTTTACCTTCTAATTTATGTGACTGTTCAATAAATTTAGTTTCCTCAGTGCAGTTCCTTTTTATCCGGATAAATTGAGATTTGGGGATTCCCTTAAGCCAAGGTGTAAAATGACAGCTCGTGGTGTGAATAAAACTATTCACATCTACTTTTTTAAAATGAGTGCTAGTTTTGATTTTATTATCTTCAATAAAAATGTCAAGATCTAAAAAATTCACTCTCGTTTTGTTAAAATCCGTAGTGAGGGCTATGCCCCAATCATTATTGTTCAATGTATTAATGAAGTCGGTTAGTGATTCTTCTGTTCCTTCCCAGATAAAAAACAGGTCATCTATGTAACGGCGATAGGTGACGAGGCCCGTCGCCCAGCCCGCCCCATGATGGATAAACTGGAGCTCCCAATATGCCATAAAAAGATTGGCATAGCTGGGCGCGAACCTCGTTTCCATCGCCGTCCCACAGGCCTGTAAATAAAAATGTCCATCATACCAGAAATAATTGCTGGTTAAAATTAAAAGAATCCCTTGCATAATAAAATCTATATGGTCAGGGGGAAAATTACCTGATTTCTCTAAGAAAAACCTGGTGGCCATACAGCCCCTATCATGTGCAATATTGGTGTAAAGGGAGCTCACATCAGCAGTGGACAGAAAATAATTTTCGTTCCACACCAATTTTTCTATGTGTCTTAATATATCCCCAGTATCCTTCAGATAGCTGGGTATTCCTCGAACAATTGGTTGCAAGCATTGGTCTATATACTCAGATAATCTACAGGACACAGAACCAATGCCTGAGACTATAGGCCTCCCTGGAGGTTGAGTGGGATTCTTGTGGATTTTGGGGAGGTGGTATACTGGAATTCTTGGGAAATCAATTTTTAAGTAATTAAACTCTTTTTGGTTCAAGATCCCATTTGTAAGTCCTTCATTTAGGTAATTATGGAATTTGTCCTTGAGATTCTTTGTAGGATCTGCTCCTAATTTTATATAGGTATTGGTGTCCTCCAGTAATTTGTATGATTCCTTGTTATAGTCATCTAATGTCATTAAAACTACACCCCCCCCCTTATCGGCTGGTTTTATAATTATTGAATTATCTTTCTGGAATTTCTTCAGGGCCATACACTCTTTCCTGGTGAGGTTCTGTTGATGTTTATTGGGTTCTTTAATTTTATTTATATCTCTCATCACTAATTTTTCAAATGTTACCATTTCACCTGATATTAAGTTTTTGGGATAGAACTTTGATTTTTCTTTCAAGTTAGTATGTTTATAGACATCATGTTGTGTATCTTCAGAATTAGTTAAAATAGGGTTCTTGTAGAAAAATTTCTTTAGACATAATGTCCTCTTAAATTTATTTAAATCAACATATGTCTCAAATTTATTTAGCTTTTTAGTTGGTGCGAATTTCAAACCCTTCTGTAACAATTTAATTT